GATAAAACATCTGAAATAGGAGATAAGTCTACCAATGAAACTGGTTCATCTGCACCTCAAGAACCAGGAAGTATTCCAACTCACAGTTGGAAATATCTAAGTTCTCACCCTTTGCAAAACATTCTTACTCCTCTTAACTCAGGCATATCTACAAGATCCAAATTACGTAGTATGTGTGCAATTCTCTGCCTATGAGTCCCTGATTGAGCCTAAAAATATAAAGGAAGCACTGCTATACTCTGATTGGATTGGTGCTATGCAAGAAGAACTCAACCAGTTTGAAAGAAGTAGAGTGTGGACCTAGTTCCAAAACCCCAAAACAGGACAGTGATAGGAACTAGGTGGGTGTTTAGAAACAAGCTCGATAAGCAAGGTCAAATAGTGCGCAACAAAGCTAGGCTAGTTGTACAGGGATACGACCAAGAAGAAGGTATAGACTATGATGAAACCTTTGCACCAGTAGCAAGAATTGAGGCAATTAGGATATTGGTCGCATATGCTGCTCACATGGAGTTCACACTCTACCAAATGGATGTCAAAAGCGCCTTCTTAAATGGTTACCTACAAGAAGAGGTGTATGTAAAACAACCCCCAGGTTTTGAGAATACCATGTACTGATCATGTATATAAACTGGACAAAGCACTCTATGGGTTAAAACAAACACCTAGAGCATGGTATGATCGATTGTCTACTTTCCTTCTCACACATGAATATACAAGAGGAAAAATTGATAATACACTGTTTATTCGAAAACAAGGTAAAGATCTGTTCATAGTCCAAGTATATGTAGATGCCATCATATTTGGAGGAACCAATGACTCACTGGGAGTAGAATTTGCTCAACTAATGAATAGTGAGTTTGAGATGAGTATGATGGGAGAGTTGAACTTCTTTTTGGGACTCCAAATTAAGCAAACTTCAGTTGGAACATCAATTCATCAACAAAAATACATCAAGGAATTACTGAAGAAGCATGATATGATGAAGCCAAGTCAAATGACACCCCCATTGGGATAACAACAAAGCTTGATAAAGATGAACCAGGTTCACCAGTCAACACACCAGATATCGAGGTATGATTGGATCACTCTTATATCTCTCTGCCAGCAGACCTGATATAGTGTTCAGTGTTGGTCTATGTGCAAGGTTTCAGTCTTGTCCAAAGGAATCACATCTAAAAGCTGTCAAGAGAATCTTGAGATATTTGATCTAAAGGGATCCAACTGGTGACTCTTTTGATCTAAAGGGATTTGCTGACGCAGATTATGCAGGACATATGGTTGATAGAAAAAGTACCTCTGGGATGGCACACTTTTTAGGACCATGTTTAATATCTTGGGCAACTACAAAACAAAATTCGGTGGCTCTATCTACTGCAGAGGCTGAGTATGTTGCAGCTGCTTCATGTTGTGCCCAACTCCTTTGGACAAAACAGCAGCTTAAAGACTTTGGTATAGAAACAGGTTGTATTCCTATTCTATGTGACAACACAAGTGCTATGAACATGGCCAAAAACCCAGTTCAACAGAAACGCACTAAACACATAGATGTTAGACATCACTTTCTTCGTGATAATGTTGAAAAAGGAAACATAGTAATGGAGTTCTGCAAAACTGAGAATCAAGTTGCTGACATTTTCACCAAGGCACTAGGAAGAGAGTCATTTCAAAAAAATAGACTTGAGTTAAGGCTCATCTTTTTAGATTGATCTTTGTCCAACCAAGTTCTAAGGAGATATAAACCAGGTTCAGTTAAGTTGGTTCTACATTTTGTTTTATTTCAAATGCTTTAAAAAAAGAATTTAAAAAAAAGGGATTTAAAAAAAAGGGATTTTTTTTTTAAAAAAAGGGGATTTAAAAAAAATTAATTGGGGAAAATCAATTTCATCTTCTCTCTCCCATGTCACTCCTCTGAAAAGCAGGTGCAACCGTCACAACACTCGTCTCCTCGATGTCAATCTCCCATAATTACTCACACCCCTCGAATAGTGCGTTTTCTCAGGGGGAAGAGAACCCAGTCGTTGATGTTGTACCAAATCTTGAGGAAGAAAGACAACTTCCACCCACACCTACATACACGTCCAAATCCGATCTACCTCCATCTCCACCACCAAAAACTCCATCTCCACCACAAAAAGATACATCTCCTCCACCACAAGCTACAGCAACATCTTCACCTGTTGTTGCAGACTCCCCACCACCACCCATCATCGAATCTCCACCATCACCAATCCAAGAAACCCCATTATCACCGGTCCAAGAAACCCCACTATCACCAAACCCAGAATCTCCCACAACCACTGTCCAAAATAATCCCCCTCCTTTCCCATCTCACCACACCACTCCTTAACATCCACCACCATCCCCAATCCATGATGATATTCTTTTGAGCTCCCTTCACCCTAAAAAACCAAGGTGGCCAAGAAAGCACATTGCAGTTAAACGGGTTCGTCCACACCGGCCTGTGACAAAGAGTGCGCATGTGGTCAAGCCAGCTGATGATGCAACATCTGGGGTGAAGCGTCGCCGATTGGGTAAGTCTCCTGTTCTTTCATCCGTCTCCCCAATGGATCTTGATTCTGAAACTGATGTTGTGTCTGAGGGTAAAAATTCTGCTACTCCCCAATCAAAATCAAAATCTGCGAAAAGAAGTGCAGATAAATTTCTAAAAGTGGGAAGGAAAAAGTACTTCCAAACCAAATCAGTGCTTAGGGGTAGAACCTTTCACCCTGATATACTTTCAATGGATATAGTGAAGCAGGTTTGTGAACTCCTAAGGTTTCAGGGGTGGGAGGAGTTATTCCTTGAACCTAGTTTGATTTATGAAAAGGAAGTAGTAGATTTCTATACGAACTTGGTAATCTTAGAAGGAGATGTGGTGTCGTCCAGTTTAAAGGGGATTGATATTGTGTTTGATGCAACCAAACTTGGGGAAATCCTGCATATACCTTTTGTGGGGATAAATGAGTACAATTGGGGTTTTGATGAATATTCTAGCCTGCCAGCCAAATTCTCTCAAGGTAGAGTCAATTCTAGGGCTCACACTGTTTTAAAGGGCATAATGAGATCTTTGCACAAGCTTCTTTTCGAGATAGTTCATAAGGTGATACTGCCTAGAGGTCACCAACGTCACATTGCCTCCATCAGAGACATGAGACTTATGAATGCACTTGAGTGCAAAGAACGTATTGATTGGCCCGCACTGATTATCAAACATCTTGCTAGAATTGTGGATTCTAAGCTAGGTTCTCATCAGTTAGCTTTTGGAAACTTGTTGACTAGAGTGTTTGATGCATTTGAAGTACCATTGGGAGAAGGCAGGATCTTAACTCGTGCAGATATGTTCACTCAAACCATCCTTGCTGATTGTGGCGTTTCTATGGAGTTGGAGCAGGTTGCAACTGCGTCTCCACGTCCATCTGGTCTTGTTGCTCAGTTACTCAGAGAACTTCAAGTAGCTGAAGAAAAGAACGCCGCTCTTGAGTCAGAAAACCAGAAGTTACGTGCTGAGCTTGATTCTTCAAATGCTGAAATACACAGGTTGAAGGATCAGTTGGTGCAGCAACAACTTGCTAACAACGCAAGAGTTGACAGAGTTTTGGATATGCTGGCTTCTGCTTCAACTAAGCCTGGTCAACCTCCACAGTGACAAAGCATGTTGTTTGAACCTGGTTCTCTTAGTTGGTTTCACTCTGTATTGTTGCTCTTTGTTTTGTTGCCAGAACAATTTATATTGCTCAACTGGCTGGGCGTATTTTGTTGCTATGGATATTGATTAGTGTTGATTAGCTGCTGTTGGATTCTTTTTGATTCGTCAAAAGGGGGAAGAGTTATTTGTGCATGCATCACACTTTACACGTTTGTCTTCATCAAAAAGGGGAAATATGATAGAATGTGATAGAATCAATAATTCATTTTGATGATAGACAAAAAGCGCAAAGAACAGTAGCAAATGTACGCAGCAAAAGAAGTCAAGCTAGAGTCCAAGATCAAGTAAAATAGAGTTATTTGTCAAAGCCAAAAATAATATATTAAAGGAAAACCTTAAATATATTATTAAGGAAGGAAGTTGTGTATAATAAGGATTGTAATTTAAAAAAGAATTCTTGTTTAAACATAACTTTCTTACCTTATCAGTAAGGATTGTACAAGGCAAAAACTCTATAAGAAGAGCACGAGGCAGAGAAAAAACACATGACTTCACGCAGAGAACAAGGG